AGAAGTTGTTGGTTTGCTGGACCTTCGGCCACTTTCCGCTGTCCTGCTAAGAGTAGACCCTCAAACCCCAAACAGACCTTTGGGATTATAAGGGCATTACATTACCCCAAAAAGGCCAAAAGTTACCTACTCTACTACTAAGAACCCCAAGCAGAGACTTGCACGGCCCGGTCCCAGAAGATCTCGTCGACAACCTCTGTATGCTTCGGGGTCCTCGCAGAGACATCTTGTCGAATTGGGCCCTAAACCCTAAACCCTAAACCCTAAACCCTAAAGGTCCAAAATGTGATCCTGGGATCCTTTGGTTGGAAGCGTCCTTTAGGGGGAACCTTGCGAGTGTTTCGTTTGGGGGCACAGCTCCTACTATAAGACGGAGCGTTCTGCTCAGGGTAACCCCCAAAATAATCCCCTAAGACCCCGTGACAAACCCTAAACCCTTTTTATACCCTTTCAAAAAGAAGCAAGTCAAAAACCTCTAAAGCCCCCCTGAACCCTAAAATTCCCCCTGAAAGCACGCCCCAAAACCGCCCTGCAAATCGAAGTCTTGCCGGGCGTCTGGGCTCCGAGATCCGGAACGGAACACTCGGTGTTGCCATAGAAGTAGTCGCACTCGAAGCCGTCCTTAGCTGCTCTCTTGAACACTCCTTGGCTGTTGCCTTTACAACCTTTTGTGGCTTAGTCGGGTTTAGGGTTCTTGAGGCACCTTATTCAAAAGGGGAATCAACGACAACAACTAAGAACTGTCTTCTAGCAGGGTCCAGCGTCCTCGAGGTATGCCGGGTCGGTGTTGACCTGGTGCGACTAAAAGAGCCAGTGAGGGACCTAAGACCCCAAATTCAAGCGAAACAAGAGCACAAAGTGACCCAAGTGTCCCGCATGACTTGGTCCCAAGTGATATCCGGTGTCCCAAGTGACCAAGTGAATGAAGGTGTCCCTGTTCCAAGGTGACCCGAGGTGTTCCCGGTGTCATTGCCTTCATTTGCTCCAGGTGTCCCAAGTTAAACCCCAAGTGACCCAAAGTGTGCTCCAAGTGCTCCCCAGTGCTCTAAGTGGACCCAAGTCTTCAAGTGGCTCAACTACTCCAGACGACCCAAGTGACGACAAGGTCCCAAGTGCGTCTTGAGTGCTACGAAGTGACCTTAGTGACTCAAATGCCCCAAGTGACCCAGGTGGCCCGACCGTCCCAAGTGACCGGGTGAATGAAGTGTCCCAAGTGACCCAGTTCCCAGTGGTGACGAAAGTGCGCCACGTATCCCAAGTGACCCAAGCGACGCAAGTGACGCAAGTGACCCAAGTGATCCAAGTACCCCAAGTGTTCCCAGTTCTCCCAAAGACTTCAAATGTCCCAAATCTGACCCCCTAGGTGTCCTGAAGTGCTCCAAGCGACCCATGTGACACAATGCACCAAGAGTACATGCTGCTTTGTAAGCAAAAGCCTTAACTCCATGAGAGTTGCAACTGGGGGGTCTTGGGGTGGGTAGGATGGGTAGGTCTGCAGACTAATGTGCTCGCAGACCGCGCTTCCGTCTGGCACGCCCGAAACCCTTAACCCAAAACCCTAAACACTACACCCACCCACCCCCTAAAAACACAAAAAACAAAAAAAAAAGTGGTCCGCAAAGAGGGATCGCGCAGCAGCTCCCACCTTGATCGAGTCCAGTGTACGCGCCAGCTCTTCCTTGTCAGCCCAGCAACCATATTCCAGTACGGGCACCCTTTTTGTTGAATACTTTATAACTAAACCCAAACCCTAAACCCTAAATCCTAAACCCCAAACCCCAAACCCCAAACCCCAAACCCCAAACCCTAAACCCTAAACCCTAAACCCTAAACCCTGACCCCTAAACCTCTCTTCTAGTACCAAAACAGGGAAAGGTTACCACCGGGCTACCAAGCTTCCGGGGCCCCAATGACGAGGCCTCCATTCTCCTCCACCTGCTCTCAGGGCTTTGGGGGGCTTAGTTTGGGGGTTTAGGGTTTGGGGTTTAGGGTTTAGGGTTTGGGGTTTGGGGTTTGGGGTTTGGGGTTTCGGGTTTGGGGTTTCGGGTTTAGGGTGAATGGCTTAGGTGGGCTTTGGCGTTTACGGACTGGCTCTTAGTGGGCAAATTTTAGGGGGATGTAAGGTGCCTCATTGGTCACAGGCGCGCAAAAAAACCTGGTGACTTGGAGGCGCGGACGCTGTTTTCGCATGGGCTTTTTAGCTGCTCAAGCACAGTCTGTATGTAGATTTTCCAGGACCGCGAGAATTAGGTTAGGACGTCCCACAGCAGGAGACACAGTAACATCCGTGATCTTGTGAAGCTACAATTAGCGGAAAGGCCGCAATGGCGGCAAACAAGCACATAAAACCATGGCTTTTACGATGTTTTATGACGTGCACACAAGGGTCAGTTTCGTGCGTGTTTGTTTCTTTCTTTTATGTTGCTTCTGCTGGCAGTTGTTAGTGGTTCGAGCGTCATGACGACACACCGTTCGCGTAAGCCTTGTGACGGTGTGTCTTGTTACAGAAACGTCAAACATCCTGGTGCAGCATGTTGTGCGGAGGAGCATGGATAGAGGAATATGGTCGCAACCAACCCCAATGCAAAAATTAAAACTCTCCAAAAGTCCACGAAGCAACCAGGTTGTTTACGCGCCTGCTTCCGCCTAATTTCTTCATTCCTTGCTGAGAACCCATATGTTTAGGGTTTGGCGCTTACGGTGTTTAGGGCTTAGGGTTTAGGATGATCCACAAATCTCTGATGTCTGAACTTGAACTACAAGCCCGCTTCTCAAAGCCAAAGGTCACCGGAAGCCCAAGCCAACGCACACCAACAACAACTCGTCTGGGGGCCTGTATCAGCGGAACACCACCCACGAGGACGGTCTGCATGGAGCGATCATACACGGCCGGAAAGTCCGGAAACTGCCTGGAAGAAGTCTTACGACTGGAACTAGTAGCTAGCCCCGTCTCAGAATTTTCCGAATCCCAGAAACCCTAAACCCTAGACGTGGCAAAAGAGTTGCAGCTTGCCCCTGTCACGCAGCCCTAAACCCTAAACCCTAAACCCTAAACCCTAAACCCCTAAAAATCGTTTCAAGGGTTTTTTAAGCCCGAGCGGCGAAGTGCAACCCAACTCGAAGCTCCTGCGCAGCAGAGGTGCCATCGACCCGAAACCCTCACCGCAATCCCCCAACCAGAAGCGAAAGGGTTTAGGGTTTAGGGTTTGGGGTTTAGGGTTTAGGGCTTAGGGCTTAGGGCTTAGGGCTTAGGGCTTAGGGCTTAGGGCTTAGGGTCTAGGGTCTAGGGTCTAGGGTTTAGGGTTTAGGGTTTAGGGGTTCCTCGAGGGGGCATTGGAGGCAGGGGAGAGGGGGTTCAAGGGGGGGGGGGGGGGTTAAAAGGGGGTTCCATTTGTGTTGAATGGGACCATGGGGGGCGGCCAAGGGCTGTTCTCCCAAAACTTGGGGCTCCTGGGCGGCATCCGCCCCTGTCCCTGGGGCTTGAGGATGGGCAGCGCCTCGCCCAAGCTGATCGTCACCTGCAGTCGGCTGAAGGGGCTTAGAGGGGACATTAAAATAGGGTTTTTGGGGGGTTATGCTAGTAGAAATAGCAAGGAAACCCATGAGGGAATACTATTAGAAAGCATTCCTAAACCCCAAACCCTCTAGTAATCTACTGTCGTCTCCAAAAGCCCTAAACCCTAAGCCCTATACCCTAAACCCTAAACCCTAAACCCTAAACCCCCAACCACGACGTCCGGGACCTTGTCGGCACCGTAGCTCATGGAAGTCCAGGGCTTCGGACGGATCGCGAGGAATGAGGCCTTGCCTTTCGTCTCCCCCTTGCTACCTGGAAAGGCTTTACGATTGTTTAGGGTGTAGGGTTGAGGGTTAGGGTTTAGGGTTTAGGGGTTCAAGGTTTGAGGGTTTCAGCGCGGTCTCTGACACCCCTCCGAGCCTCAAGCTTAAAAAACTCGGTGCTCGCTGTCTCCGGTTCAGGGCGAATGCAAATTATAAGCATCTTCGGATTTACGGACTTCGGGTTTTTCGGCGTTTGGGAGTGTAGGGTGTAAGGTTTAGGGAGTAGGTTTGGTGTTCAGGTTTCAAGTTTTTCGGGGCTTGTTTGGGGTCTGACCCGGCCTTTGACCACGCAGATGGCGCCGTCCTGGCTGTTGTAAGCCTCCCCCTCCGCTACGACTCCTGGCCATCGGCAACTCTTGTGCGTGGAACGTCTGAGGTTCCATTCACCCTAAACCCTAAACCCTAAACCCCCAAACCCTAAACCCCAAACCCTAAACTCCCTAAACCCTAGGGGTCCTGCGCTGAGGGCTTGCCTTCTTGGCTTCTAAGAAGGCACCCAACTACGACACGACCCCCTCCCCCCAAATAGGGTTTAGGGTTTAGGATTTCGGGTTTAGGGTTTGGGGTTAAAACCCCAAAACCCTAAAACGAACAGAGGCCACTGACCCTAAACCCAAACCCTAAACCCTATAGTAGACAGAAAGCCATTAACCCTAAACCCTAAGC